GAACCAGTCTGACCCATACGAACCAGTCTGAGCCATTGGAACCAGTCTGACCCATTAGAACCAGTCTGACCCATTAGAACCAGTCTGACCCATTAGAACCAGTCTGACTGACTGCTCTCTGCCCTCAGGCTTTAACACCGCCACCAACGTGGTGGTTCTGGCCGGAACCAATCGACCCGACATCCTGGACCCGGCCCTGCTCAGACCCGGACGCTTTGACCGGCAGATCTACATCGGTGAGTTAAATGGACACGCCCACGCCGCCGTCAGGGACAGGAAGTGACCCATCTCCGTTCTGCTGCAGGTCCCCCGGATATTAAAGGACGGGCGTCCATATTTAAGGTCCACCTGCGTCCCCTGAAGCTGGGCTCTGACCTGGACAAAGACGCTCTGGCTAAGAAGATGGCCGCCCTGACGCCCGGGTTCTCAGGTAGGTGGTGGGAGGGGCCAGCAGCCGGCCAGGTGAGCCAGGCGTCTGAGCCTTTGTCCTCTATCGCTGTCTGACAGGCGCCGACATCGCCAACGTCTGCAACGAGGCGGCGCTGATCGCAGCGCGCCACCTGGCAGACACCATCAGCCAGAAGCACTTTGAGCAGGCCATCGAGAGAGTCATTGGAGGTGAGCGCGTTCCCGACCAGAACCAGGACCTGGCAGAACTGGGACCATAGAGTCCGGGTGCAGCTGTGTCAGAACCTCTGACCTCTTGCTGTTTGTGATGCAGGTCTGGAGAAGAAGACTCAGGTTCTGCAGCCGGAGGAGAAGAAGACAGTGGCGTACCACGAGGCGGGTCACGCTGTGGCCGGCTGGTTCCTGGAGCACGCCGACCCTCTGCTCAAGGTCTCTGTGACGGGTGGGCTGTGGTTCTGCAGGCTGAGGCCCGATGGCTGATGGTGTTCTGATCCGAGCAGGTGTCCATCATCCCCAGAGGGAGGGGCCTGGGCTACGCCCAGTACCTGCCCAAGGAGCAGTACCTGTACACCAGGGAGCAGCTGCTGGACCGCATGTGCATGACGCTGGGAGGACGTGTCTCCGAGGAGATCTTCTTCGGCCGCATCACTACCGGCGCCCAGGACGACCTCAGGAAGGTCACACAGAGCGCCTACGCTCAGGTGAGGCCCCCGCCGTACGGAACTGTCCCGCCGGCTGTCGGCTCTGTCTCACCCGCTGTCCTCTGCAGATCGTTCAGTTCGGGATGAACCCAAAGGTGGGCCAGGTGTCCTTCGACCTGCCGCGGCAGGGCGAGATGGTTCTGGAGAAGCCCTACAGCGAGGCCACGGCCCGCCTCATCGACACCGAGGTCCGAGCCCTGATCGCCGACGCCTACCGCAGAACCCAGCAGCTGCTGAACGACAAGAAGGCCGACGTGGAGAAGGTACCACTGAGGTTCTGCTGATGGAGGCGGGTCGGTTCTGGTTCCTGGGACTCTGAGGTCCCTCAGACCAGTTCTCAGTTCTCAGCTGGGTCCTTCAGACGGTTCCATTCTTTGAAACAAAGAACTTTAGGACCTTCCACACCTTCCTCTGGTCAGGGACCGAGTATGCAGAACCAGAACCTTCTGATCCGTTAGAACCAGTCTGATCCGTTAGAACCAGAACCTTCTGATCCGTTAGAACCAGTCTGATCCGTTAGAACCAG